CCTGCGTGCAAAGCCTGCACTCCAGCACTGAGTTAGTCGCCTGGCCTTTTGTAAGGACGCTAAGGTTTTGTTAACTCCTCACTATTAACAAAAAAAGCTAACACCTACCCAGCCATCAGTGTCGACAGAAACTGTTCCAGAGAACCTTACTAACCAAGCTCAAACCGTACAACTATTTACCCTTCCTCTACAAAGTGAGAAAACACAGGCGCAGGCATTAACTCACCTGCCCCAAATCAAAGTCCTAATAAATGGCAGAGCCAAACCCACACAGTGAGGTAGCTTAACTCCCCAGCATCACATCACTGTTATTAGCTATGCTGCATGGTCATAAAATCACAACAGAATCACGAGGTTTGAGCAAGGGCTTAAGAATGTTAGTTGGCATCTGGGGCTGGAGAATACAGCACTTAAGACGCTTGCCTTGCCCTGCACACTGAGGACCTGGGTTTGATACCTGTCACCCCACGTGCCGCCAGGAGTGTAACCCCTGAGCATGGCAGGGTGTGGCCCAAAAACAAAAAAATAATTGTAGTATCAAGAGGGAGGCACAGTCTAGAGCACCTCCCTCGGGAGTGTATGGACCCGAGTTCAAATCCCTGGTATTCCACATGCGAAGCACAATCCAAGCAACAAGATCTTGCTCCTTGGTGCCACAAGATAGTCCCAGCCACAACACAGCAGATGTCTGTAAGCACCTCAGGAATGGTGTGACCCCAAGCAACACTCCTACTGAACAGAAGTGCAGTGTGAACGAACAGTCAGGAGCCCTGGGGATCTCTCGTGTGCCTGAGAGAGTGCAAGGCGCTGCTCCCTGGCACTTCATGGTGCAGCCCACACACAGAAATGCTCTGGACGGGTCCAGTCCACCCCCACCCCCCGCAAGCACCGCCGACAGGAGAGCAGAGCGCAGTGAGCCTGAACGCCGGCACTGCTTGGTGCAACCCACACGCACACAAACACCTCAGGAGACAAGCCTCCAAGGGTCGGAGAGACAGTAGAGGGGCCATGCGCCTGACCCAGGTTCAATCCCCAGCATCCCCGATGGTCCCCCAAACACCGCCAGAAGTAACTCCTGAGCCATCACTGGATGTGGCCCCAAGATTCTTTGTAAGTCTCAGACCTGAGAGACTGCAAGGAAAAAAAAAAAAAGGACCAGAGCCATAGGAGAGAGGGCAAGGCACATGGCCTTGCACGTGGCCCACCTGGGTTCAATCCCCAGAACCCCATACAGTCCACAGAACCTACAGGAGTAATCCCTGAGTGCAGAGCCAGTATTAAGCCCTGAGCAATGCCAGGTGTGGCCCAAAACCAAAAAGCAACACTAACAAAAAAAAAAAAAACAGTCAGGTCAGGTCCCCCCAGCACGTGGGAGCACTAGATGTCAGAGAGCCTGCAGCTGAGCAAGCGCAGCCAAGCGTGAGCAGCACCAAACGGCCGCCACGGTCTAACAGGTGTGCCAGCCCCGCCACCACAGCCGCCACAAACAAATGGAGTCACGGCCAGACTCGGAACACAGCGGGCCAGATTCGAGCTATGATGCTACAATTATGTTATCTGGAGCAAAAAATTTTGCATCCTAAATACCACTTCCTTATTTCTCTACTTCAAAAGAAAGGGGCTGCCCCGATGGCTCAGGTGCTACGGCCCAAGTTTAACGTGTGAGGCCAAGTTCCACCTCCAACACATATGCTGGTCACCCCTGGAGTGGCACTGGTCGCTCCGGAATCTATGAACGTGACCCATTAAAATAAGACAGGGGGGCCAGAGCAGGTAAGGCACTTGACTTCATGTGGCTGACCCAGGTTTGATCCCCAGTATCGCATATGGTCCCCTGAGCCTGCCAAGAGTGATCTCTGAGCAGAGTCAGGAGTCAGCCCTGAGTACTGCTAGGCTGGCCCCAAAATAAAAGCGAGTAATCACTGGGATTCTACTTTATACATTCCTAATGTAATGATTTTTGTTTTAAGGTCACCTCTTTGGTGCTCAAGGCCAGATTCGTGCTTGGCTCTGGGGACTGTACGTGGTGCTGGGGATCAAACCCAGGTAGGCCAAATGCAAGCCAAGCGCCCCAGCCCCTGTGCTATCACTCCGGCCTGAGACACTTAACTCCCACTTAGCCCCCAGTCAGCTGGCACTGGCCAAGACTCCGCTGTCCCAATAGGCACACGTGCCTGAGACTTGAAGCAGCAAGCAGCAGGGCAGAGTCTGGGTTCAATCCCAGCACCTCACCGTAAGGTCTCCTCATCACTGCCAGGAGCAGCACCCAGCATTGAGTCAGTAGGCCCTGAGCACTGCTAGCTACGGCCAAAAAGAATCAAAAGAAATCAGATACACAAAACCTCAGTATTTAGTAACCAAACTCGGCTGAGCCTCAACAGTAAACATCAAACATTATTTTGGTGATCCTGAGGGCGTACCAAGTCCCAGGAAGTATAATTAGATGTACGCTGACTACACAGTTCCCTGTCCCACACATTTTTACAATTATGCCAACTACTCAAAGAAGCTATTGCTCTCTCGCTTAACAATTAGCTTGAAGATCGTTTGAGATCACAGAGCTGAAGACAGAACTCTCGGCAACACCCCGAGACCCAGGAGAGCATCTGTGAAAGAAACTCAGCTAACTGTATCCCTAGCAGGGAGGCAGGAAGACCTGACCACATGTGAGAACACATGTGACCCTGCCCAACTTCACCACCTGTGGGCTGGCATGACACTCGAGACTGAGCACCCACAGAGTCTGCATGCATCCCTGGCCATTTTCCCACAGGCAGAGCAGCTCCGGAGAAGCCCCGGCTACAAGTGCCTGTGGGGGAGGCCAGCACAGGCTGAGGGGGAAAGGACACGTCAGAAAACTGAAAGCTGCTGAGGAGAAGCATCAAGCAGAGCACAATCCTAAGAGGGCAGGGAAGCTGGCAACTCTGCTAAGCACAGACCTTTCAGGAATCCCACCAGTGACCAAACCCCAGACTGCTGAGGGAAAGGTCTAGTGCCCACTCTAGAAAGGTGTGAAGCAGAGAACCAGAAGCAAGTAAAGCTGGCGGGGACAGAGACAAGCAGTTAACATCAAGAGCCTGAGAGACACTTCTCTCCTGGGGGATCATTTTGTTACTTAGCCTCTATTCTTGACCAAAAATGCTCAAGCATCTTTCCAAAGATGAAACATACAGGACGCTAAGAGCCACGGTCCAGCAGGAATGGTCAGGGATAGCAGGTCCAGAGTCGGCCCCAACACTGGTCACTGCTCAGCCACTGTCTCTTCAAAATCATTCTCTGCCCATCTTTCCTTTCTACCTGGGACTTCACATATCCGACCACTTGATATCCTACAGATTCATGAGCTCATACACTCACTGGCACACAACCCCCCCCCACCCCAAACCAAGGTTCTAGAACTGGCACCCGGACCAGACTCCTGAGCTCTGTCTGGGGCAATGCCCATAGATGGGGGAGCCCCAGCACCACCAGCAAATCCCCTACTCCCCAAAGACAAAACTTCACCATGGGCCAGAGGGCTTTGCAAGGAGGACTTAGTAAACCCAAACACTCCAGGAAGCGCCAAAAAAGAGAACAAAAGAGAAACATGCCTGGGGGCTGGGCGAGATGGCACAGCTGCAGCCCACCTGGGTTTGCCCAGGTAGCAGCCCAGGAACTGCAGAGTCTCCAGGATCCCCCAGTCCCACCAAGAGTGATCCCCCAAGTGCAGAGCCACAGCCAGGTATGGCCCAGAAACAAACACCAAAAGAGAGAAATACACCTCATTCAAGTGAGCCCAGGGTAGCTCAAACCCATAAACCTGACTAGCATTAATTTTTTTTCTACAGAAGCGTTCGTCCTTGCTTCCTTAGGGCGGGCGAGGAGAAGAGAGGCATGCGGGAAGGTAATCAACCCGGAGAGCTGAGCTTGAGCACGTTTGCGTGCCTTGCACTCGCGGCCAGGCCAGGTTCCGTCAGCTGCACCCCAGATGGTCTCCCAAACCCCACCAGGAAGTGATGCCTGAGTGCACAGCCAGAAGAAGCCCTGAGCACAGCCCGGAGTGCCCCCCCCCCCGAAGATTTTTTTTTTTAAATAAGGCAGACCAAATCAACCAATGATAGACACATCACAGCCACAAGAAATTTAAAACGACCTGACAGCAACACTCAGAACTTCCACGCATCATTTTCAAAAATACTTTTTTTTCCAGGGCCTGGAGAGACAAGACAGCAGAGAAGGTGCTTTGGCCTTGAGCACCCTTGAGCACCCCCGGGTGTGGTCTAAGTAAAACAAAAACAAAAACAAAAGAGTGGCCCAAGGTAAAGGACGCGCGGCTGGCGGTGAGAGCAGCATTAAGTTTTTACAAGGCTGCAAAGGGAACCAGGGAGAAACGCTTGGGAAGGAGAGGGGAGGGGGCTGGAGCGGGAAGGGGGGGTGGGTGGGCGTTTCTCCCGGGCCCAGACCCCAGCGGGGCTATTCCTAGGGAAACAAGTGGCCGGAAACCGGGGCCCGGCGCGCGGCAGCCAATCAAAGGCGGCCTTACAAGTCGGCGCGCCGGGGCCGGCCGCGAGCCGCTCGCTGAGTGGCCGGCGCGCCCGGGCCCGCGCGCACGCGCGCCGCGCGCCCTCGCCATAGGCGGCCGCACCTGGGGGGGGACCGCCCTCCCCGCGGCAGCGCCCGGCGCACGGTCGCCCCCGCCGCGCCCCCCGCCCCGCACCCCGAGACCGTTTCCTCCCCCCCGCAAACCAACCCCCGACAACGCCTCGCAGCCGCGCGCACAGGGCCGACCACCCGGGGAGGGGAGTGCGTGTCCATCCACCCACCCACCCACCCACCCCTCCCGCACTCGGGCCGCCCCCCGCCCCGCGCGCGCTGCCCGGGGTCCCGAGCGCGCGCGCGGTCCCCGCCGGAGGGGTGGGGGGGGTGGGGGAGAGAGGGGATCGGAGTCAGGGTCGGGGCGGGGCGGGGGGCGCAGGTGCAGGGGGAGCGCGGGGTCGTCCGCCCGCGCCCCCGGGTCTCACCAATTCCTCGTAGGTCCTGCTGTGCTCGTGGCCCTCCCAGTCCAGCCTCTTGGGCAGCAGCTGCAAAGACACGGGGCGCAGCCTGGTGACCCCCCTCGCGCCCGCCGCGCCGCGCCGCGCAGGCCGGGCGGGGGTCGCGCGCACGCGAAAGGTGGGGGCGGGGGGCGCGGCGGCACCGACCTGGTACTGCTCCAGCTCCTGCACCAGCACCTGCACCGAGAGACGCGCGTTTAGCGGGCGGCGACCCCCGGGGCAGCGCGGGGCGCGGGTCGCGGCCCCGAACCCGCCCGCCCGCCCGCGCCCCCCGCCCCCCGGCTCACCTGCGCGGCTCTGCGGCACGGGCCGGCCGACAGGTAGCGGGCGATGAGGAAGTAGAGCTCTGCGGGGACAAGGGGGCGGTGAGGGGCGGCGCGGGCCGGCGGGGAGGGGAGGGAGGGGGCGCGGGCGGCGCGGCTTACCCGACTCGACGAGGGGCACCGGGCGCCGGGCGGGCGCGGGCTCCGCCATGGCCGAGCGCGGGGCGAGCCGAGCGTGGGGGCCGCGCCGAGGCCTGAGCGGGGCCGGCGTCCCTCTAGCCGCGGCGCGCCTCCGCCGCCGCCGCCGCCGCCGCCATGCCGTGCGCGCACCTCGGCCCCGCCGCCGCCGCCGCCTCCTCCGCGGGCCCCGCGCCGGCGCGCCACGAAAAGTAGTCCCTGCGGGAGGGGCCCCGGCGCGCCGCGCCCCGCCCCCGGCCCGGCCCCGCGAGCCTCCCCGCCCCCGGCCCAGCCGCCGCTGACGCTGATGCGGGACTGCCAGGCTGGCTGGGTGGGTGGGCGGGCTCCGGGGGGCGGCCGGGCCGGGGGCGGCGCGGTGGGGGAGGGGCGCGCGCGTGGCCCGGATCCCTGCGCGCGGTGAGGCGGCCGTCCGGCCATTGTGAGGCGGCGGCGGCGGCGGCGGCGGCGGCGGCGGCGACGGCGACGGCGACGGCGCGGTGGGGCGGGCTCCGGGGGCGGACGGCGATCAGGGTGGAGACCCCCGCCTCACAGGGGACCCCCTGGCATACCAGGGGACACCCCCTCACAGGGGACCCGCCCGCGCCACACAGGGGTCGCTCGCCTGACAGCGAGCCCCGCCTCACAGGGGATCTCGGTCTCACGGAGGACGCCCGCCTCACAGAGAGAGGACCCCCGCCACACCAGGGAACATCAACTCGCAGGGGACCCCCGCCTCGCAGGGGTCGCCCGAGGACGCCCGCCTCACCGGGGATCCCCCGCCACACAGGGGTGGCTCACCTGAGAGCGAGCTCCGCCTCACAGGGAACCCCCGTCTCACAGAGGACGCCCGCCCCGCCAGGGGACACCAACTCACAGGGGTCGACCGAGGACGCCCACATCACAGGGGATCCCCCGCCTCGCAGGGGATACCCGCCACACAGGGGACACCCCTTCCTCCCCGCCCCCCACACCGACTCCCAGGGGACTCCAGCCTCACAGGGGACATTCCCACCTCTGCTTCCCCCAGACCCAGTTTCGCGGACGCTCTAGCCGGGGCCACCGGTTGGGTACTACCCCGCGCACACACCGTCTGTGGAAGATCGCGCGAAATTTTTAAGCCTGGGCCGGTCTCCTTTCCCCACCACCACTACCATCACACTCTCACCCCACCCCACCCCCGCTCATTGGAGGACACGTTGGCCAGATGGTGGGGTTTCACGGGGGACGCCCCAGCGGAACGAAGCTGCTTCGAGGTCTCGAGTTACCCCCACCCCCACACTGCCGCGCTGAGCTCAGCTGCCCCATAACCCCTAGGGTCTTTCACTTCCAGGGACCAGCGCAGACCACACCCCTCCCCCCCCAAGGGGTTAAGGAAGGTGAAGATTATCACCTGCAAAAGAAACCCTGCTCCCTCCCCTCTGAGGGACAGCGCCTGAGGAGGATGGAGCCTGCCCACAGCCTCCGTTCCTTGGAAGTGGGACCCTTGAGGGAATGAGGGTGTTTTCTGGAAGGCAACAGCAGCAGATGCACAGAACGTCCTTCTGTTGGCCATATCAGGTTCTGGCCAGATTTGTGTGCTCAGCAGATACAGCCAAGACGCCCCCAGCTGCAATAGGGCAGAGTCCAGCACTACTGACCTTGGGCCTTCGGAGTGGGAGAAGTGTTACGTGTGAGACTTGGAGCCCTGCACCACCTCCCTGCACCTGCACCTCTGTTGTGCTCCCATGCCCCCAGGTTGTGAGGACTGAAGGGATCATGGGCAGTTACCGGTCATTTTCAGCAAATGACAGGTTGACTGAGGAGCATGGAAAACACATCTGGGCAAGCAGCATTGGCGGTCTGGTCTTATCAGCTAACACCCTGGGCGACAGAAATGACAGGGTGGAGGAGTGTCAGCTTTGCCATCAAAGACTCCAGCAAAGGACATAGGGGAGACATGGGAGCAGATAATGACCAGCTTATGGGGTGAGACTGAAGGTGGAGCAAGCTGCCAGTGGGAGGCAGAAGATGCTGGAAACCAGTGGATTCCAAGGCAGAGAACCAGGAAGACTTGAGTAGCACTTAGCACTCGAGATGCTCAAACCTAGGATGTCTCCTTGAATGAGACCAGTAGGCCAGAAGTTAAAAGTGGGAGCCATTAGAAGGTTCTAGCTAAACCAGGAGAGATGAGTTTTCGTTTTAGCTTAGTATCAGAGAGCTAAATTCCAAGAGGCAGAAAGGGTCATAGAATCTAAAGGGGCTTTAGTCGTTCAAAGTTATGCCGCCAGCTGACAGAGGGCACAGCAGGCTGGGGATAAAAGGACAAGTACATGGAACAGCTCCATTTGTTGGAATTACTTGGCGTGATTTCCTCTGGAACAGAACAGCCTGCTACTACTAGGAGGTTACCAAAGTTTAGCAAACGGCAAAGACATAAAGGGGAGAATTTAAACGTTGAGACTTGCCGAGGACTTGGGTATTTTAGTTTGGAACCATATCACAAACATTTTTTAAAGTCTCAGTATTATGAGAATCCCAGCGTGGGCAGAATCCTAACCAGACTTAGTTCCTAAGATGTGTCTCCTTTACAGTTGACTTTGTACCCATGGGAGATGCTGTACCCAGATTTGAAATAGAGACTGGATATCTTTGCTGTTGTACCATACCTTGTGGTGCTCAGGTATCGCTCCTGTTGATGTTTGGGGGGGGGGGGGGTACTATATGGCCAGATGAACCCGGATTGGCTACAAGCAAGTCAAGCGCTCTAATCCCTGTACTATCTATCTACCCACCTTTTCAAAAGATTTCTAACATAACAAAATAGTAGACTAACACCCAAGAATAGCCGAGATAAGTACCAGGAGGTTTACTCCATGGCTTGGAGGCCAGCCGCACATGCTAGGGGTAAAGGCAGCTCAGATAGAGAGGGGAGCACCAAATAAAGGGTGTTGGGAAGATCAACCCAGGATGGGTGATGTATGCTGAAAGTAGACTATAGACCGAACATGAATGCCACTCAATGCCTCTTTTGCAAACCACAGCACCCAAAAGGAGAGAGAGAACAAAAGGGAACGCCCTGCCACAGAGGCAGGGGGGGATACTGGGATCAGTGGTGGTGGAGAATGGGCACTGGTAGAGGGATGGGTACTCGATCATTGTATAACTGAAACCCCACACAAAAATTTGTAAGTCTACAACTGTACCTCGTGGTGTTTCACTAATAAAATTTTTTTAAAAAAAGATTTCTAACAGTATCTTATTTTCTCAGGTAACAGTGACCCCAACTCAACTCCCTCCTAACAATAAAAAGATAGAAGAGGGATCTATCAAAACCACGTTGACTGGTGCTACCCTGAGCCCCATCAGCACTGATCCCTGAGTGCAGAGCTGGGAGTAAGCCCTGAGCACTGCAGGGTGTGGTGCAAAAAAATGGAGAAGGGAGGGGTGGGAAGGGGAGAAGCCCATGTTCTGTCTTGAACACATACTTCCTTTCTCCCCTCACATCGTTCTTAGTTTAAATTAAAACTATCTTGCTTTACTTTTTAAAAAAAGAAAAGAGACCTAGTCTCCATGAGCAACTCTGTCTCAACTGGTCTCTAGTCCTGTCAAGAATGCTTCCCCCCAGAGCCCAGAGAGAAACTATAGGGGTTAAAGCTTGCATATGGTCCCATAAGAACAACAGGTGTGGCCCAAACTTTCTCCCCCCAAAAAATTTCTTTCCAGGGGCCAGAGAGTGCTGTGGGTGGGTCTCGCTTGCCTTGCACCCAGCCACAGAGTTCAATCCCCAGCATAACATATGCTCCCCTGAGCCCCACCAAGTGACCCCTGAGTGCGGAGGCAGAAGTAAATCCTGAGTATAGCTGAATGTGTCCCCCTCCCCCCCAAAAAAAATTCTTCCCTCCCACAACTGAATCTAGAGGCCATCACAAAGCACAGGCTCTTACTTGCTTTAGGACAAGTTGAATTTGCCACAGCTCTCTGGAGAGCTCACCATCTTACTGCTTTTACACAAGTTAGGAAGCTATCAGCGCCTGGGACCTCAGAACACTGTCACCTTTCTCCACTAGGAGGAAGCCACACACGTTCAAACCTTGGCAACAACCTCTCCTGGAGAAACTTCGCTAATGTCACAAGCACCTGCCCCTGCCAGGTGCCCTTCATCTGCTTCCTTTGCCAGGAGAAAGCTGGAGCCGCAGCCAGCTGTGACTCAGAAATCCAAAGGAATAAAAAAAAAGTGGCCAACCAGACTTAGAAAAATTTAGGAATTTGTGCAGGGTGCTGGCTTAAGGACTGGAGTACATTCCTGGCATGTGATGACCCCTGAGTTCAATCCCCAGTACCACGTGGTGGCCTCTGAAACAGCTGGATCCAGCTAGCACATCACTGCCCCAAGCAGTGAACTTCAGGTTCACACCATCGGGCCAAGGATCACTGCTGAGCACTACTTGAGAACCCCCCCCCAAAAAAAGGATTTGGTGAAGGATGAAAATCAGTTCTTTTTAAAAAATAGATCATGAGGCTGACTCCTAAGGACAGTAGATACATGGGATAGATAGATTGCTCCATGGCTGGAAGCCGGCCTCATGAGCAAAGCTGGAAGAGAGAAGGGATCACTAAGAAAAAGATGGCTGAAGAAATCGGTCAGGATGGGAGATGTGTGCAGAAAGTAGATAAAGGACCAAACATGATCACCTCTCAGGGTCTGTATTGCAAACCATAATGCCCAAAAGTAGAGATTATGGGGAATCATATCTGCCATGGAGGCAGAGGGAGGGTGGGATGGGGGGGTTATACCGGGGATATTGGTGGTGGGGAATGTGCACTGGTGGAGGGATGGGTGTTTGATCATGTTTGTAACCCAAACATGAAAGCTTATAACTGTCTCACGGTGATTCAATGAAATTAATTTAAAAAATCAGTTCTTTTTAAAAAATAGAATTTATTGGGGCTGTCTTTCCAAGTCACTCCTTGGGAGAACATTCCAGATAGAACATATCTGGTAAACCAACAAGCCTGCCTCTTAATAATAGAGAATGGGCAGGATTGAGGATGTGGGCTAGGGTGCCTGCTTGCCTTGCATGGGTTT